CTATGGTATAAAAGGAAGAAAAAGTCGGGTAGACATGCACATGAAGTGCAGAAAACACTGTAAACACCGATAGATTCTGCTAAAAGCATCTTGTGACATAAGATTATACAGGGCTACTTGACAAGAAGACTCGCCTGGATCATGGGGGAGGGGTGTGACCTACCAATACATTATTTCTGCCATTTCTGTCGAAACAATCATCAAGCTTTCACTCTCCTCTAACAGCCCGTAAAAGCGGGCGGGCCCTAGCGCCCGGGGGACCTTAACTCGCCCCTTAAGCCGGGATAAGAAGAGAGAGAGACAGAATGCGAGAGAGAAGAGCTGGCCAGTTCGTGCGTTGGTTGAACTGGCCCTGGACACAGGTCCAAGCTGTGAGCTCTTAGTGAAATGCACAAAGACATGCAACTCGGTAATGAATGGCTCTTCGTGAACTTGTCGGCGACAATGATGAGCTGACGATTGTTTGCTGAAGTACAGCCTGCCATGTCTTCTTACGCTCCGCTCAACATTTAGCTCTGCATTCAGAAGAAGACGTGGAAGTCTCGCACTTCACCCTAAGTTTTTTGGAATTCGCAAACGAAGAGGTCGCGTAGAAAAGCGCATGCTGCATGTTTTGGCTGTTGTCTTGCACGGCCTGGAGCAATGCTGATTGTGCTGGAAGTCCGATCTGCACATGCTTGGTTCAGCAGCGATGGACCCAAGTCCATTCTTTTGACCAGCGCTTCAATGAACGCTTGGGGAACTCCCTTAATCGAATGAGCACGCCGCTTCTTCGCCGTTTTCAATGCGGGCGCGTGGGGCCCTCAAGCATCTGCCGAACCTTGGAAACGAACGGCAACCAAGCTTCTGATGCAAGGTGGCAGCTTGCAGAGTTCTGAGGCGGGCAGGAACCGAACAAAAAGCAAGGGACATCCTAGCAGCTGAGGCGGCAGGAGAAGGCGAAGAACAAGAACAGAACAAATACAGGACATATAGTTAATGCACCATGCAATGACAATCAGTATACAGTAGTGTGTACATAGATGGATGGATGGAAAGATGGACGTAAATGTATATGTCTATGTACATGTCTATGTATATGTATATGTATATGTACATGCACATGTATATGTCTATGTCTATGTCTATGTGTATGTATGTGTACATGTATATGTATACGTACATAGGTAGGTAGGAGGTCGGAAGGTAGGTAGGCATGTAATTGAATGTATGTATGTATGTATAACTATATATGTATTTATACATGTATGCGCCTATGAAACCAAGCTCAGGAACAGTATGAGGGAAGCACCAACGGTTTTATCGGAGTCATGCATGCCTGAGAAAAATGCAGGAAATCTAAAAATCGCCCTTCCACTGGACACCGGGCGTAACGACAAGAGTGCCAGTGCAGAACCTGGATATGTCAAGTCTATTTCGGGAACTTCACCGAAACACAAACTACATCACATGCCACCGCGTGCACGAGCTTCGTGCATATCATTCGGAACGCTCTGGTGGGATGCGGAGGGCTGGAGCCTTCATGGCTCGCAGGGAGCCAGCACACTGAACATCATCGCGTCTCACTCTGGGCTTTGCAAGCGCATCTTCGCTTCTGATGCTCGCTCGTTAAGCTCCAACTTCCTAAGTCGCGCCCACAAAGGCCCGACAACGGCCCAATGATGCTCATGAGGCTGACCCCCGTGGAAGCTTCTTTCATTACTTTCGACAACGTTGATTGTTTCCCTGAATACTCGCCCCGAGCTGGAAGCTGACCATAGTCGTGTTGATGTCGAGACTGCCCTGCCAGATCATATCGCACAGGCGATTGTCATGCCCGACAGTTGCTCCAACTCGGCCGACGCCGATGTTCACGCCGTCGATCATCTCGTCGAACATGGCAACGGGCACAATCGAGGTCCGAGTGGTGTTGAAAGGTTTAGGGCACCTGAGCTGACCTCGTCTTGTGAAGGTTTCCAAGCAGCGATTTGAAGAGCTGCTGGAATCAGAAGTGGTCCACTTTGCCAGGGCGTTGCGGCCCCACCCGGTGCAAGCTTGCGAACTTGAAGTCGTCATCATTTTGTTCGTCAGCCTGCTGTATGCCAGATGACGCTTCAGCAGATCCTTCACCTGCAAGATGCAAAGAGCTTGCGTGAGTTTTTGCTGGAGGCAGCGACCAGAAGCACTTGAAAAGCATGATGAAATGTCCTACCATCTCCAGCAGCCACCAGGAATTGCCTATCCGGTATGCTCGCCGAGTACAGCTCATTGAGGTACCAGAGCGAGCAAATCAAAAGTTGCTTGAATTGAAGCCACTTGCTCGATCAGTCCTTGCCGCGTTGGAGCGATTTTCCTCACATGCGGGTGATTCGCCTGTCGCTTGGACATTTCCGTGCTTCGAGATGTGCTTTCGGCTTGACCACCCCGCGTTGGATGCAAGGCTCCTTGTACTTCGATGCTTTTCGCAAGCTTCGTGCAGTGCCTCCCGAAGAAGAGGACTGCAGCGCTGATCTCAAACGAACATGAGAGGTATAAAGACGCTGTCGAGGAACGCTTCAGAAGCATGCTGCAAGATATCAAGCGACGGAACGCCAACATGCTGTTTCACGTTATGAGGCATGGCTCGTTGATGCACGGTGCAAGCACAGGATATCCTACATGTCAGGGAACTATTGAGATTTGGCAGGGGCGTCCGCACCATGCGTGCGAAGCATGCGCTCACGGAGGAGCAGGTCGGAGGGTTTCGGAGAGACTTCGAGCCCCTGAACGCCCGCGGCGATGCGAGGTTAACCGATTTCTGGACGAGTTCCTCACTGCCCGGATAGGGACGGATATCTTGTCCTCGCAGTACCTGGCAATCACAAGGTGCCGTGCAGGACTGTAAGTCTTGTTTTCAGCCAGCTGAGACCCCAGGCCAGATTCCCCTACTTCAGTTGTCACTCCTGACTGCGACCCAGTCCGAGACACAGCGAAGAACACCCCCGCAAAACAACACGTTAATACTTCTCAAGCCTTGCTGAAGGTCGATGTGGTTCGCACGGCCGCCGGCGATGCCGCTACCCTGTGCAGGAGCTTCTCATTTCTCATCTTGGAGTGGCTCTTGGACTAAAGTCAAAAGCCCTGACAGCGGTTTCGGTTTTCAGGCATCACTACGGCTGGAGCCCGCCGATCGACATTGTGGATGTGGGCCAGGCCAGCCTCAGAGAGGGTCCCTCGTCCGGCTCGAGCTTCGTCCTTCTGGAGCAAAAGGTACGATTTCCCTTTATCAAGCAGTACCTGAACTACATCATGCCACGAGCTCAAGAGCTCAGGGCCGGAGCCGGATCTCCGCAAAGCCCTGCGACCAGAGGTTCGAGCTGATCAAGAACTCCTTGCGCGCGGTGGTGGAGAGGCGCGCCCTGGGTTTCTGGACACTTCGCGTTTCCGCATCAGAGGAACATCTCTTGCAGGATGTGGTAGTCACTGAGATTCTTCACCTGTCCGCTCACGCTCTTTTGGCAGGTATGGCTCCAGAGAAGCTGCAGAAGCCTACCCCATTCGTTGGCTTCCCAGTGCCGTTGTATCTCTCACTGAACCTGCCAGCGGTTTTGGAATAGCGGAAGTGTGCTGCCTTTTGACCTCTCCAGAACGCCAGAGCAGGTGTCGTCGTTTGCGGCGATGATGACACCATCGTGCTCCGAGTGTCTTGCGCTGAGAAGCATTTATCTGACATGCTGGTTGTGCTTGGGCTGAGTGTAACAGCCTCGACAGTGCCACCGAATGCCGAAGTGCTTGCCATGTGGTGGAGGTCTGATTGTGGAGGTGGTGAGACCCTAAGCTATGCGCCAGATGCGCTATTCTAGACCGAAGCTTCGATTTTTGGCGAAGTCGAAGGCTTCGTTCCTTTCTGCAACATGCTGAGGTATTCCCCTTGACGACATGGATCAGGCTCTTTCAGTGGGTTGCTCTTGTAGGAGGTGCTACTTTGTGGGAGTGCCCTTTTTTTGAATGTTGACTCTTCCTGTTCAGGTGTGGTCCTACCTCTACACAACGGCAAAGCCTGCGTGCGAGGACGCTGGACATCAAAATTTCAAATTTTTCCTTGAGGCCATGCTGAAATGCTAGCTACAGGATGTGTCATCCGTCAGTGGCGCCGACAGCGACGACGATGACAACGATTCTGATGATGATCGTGGCATTGCGTGCACTGCTTAGACAGGAGTGAAAAGTGAAATCCCATGAAATCTCGCTCTGCTGAGCGAACTTCCGTGCCCCGTGAACAGAGACCTCACCGGTGAATGCTGGAGGCCGCTAGCAGGTTTCGGCTGTGGCCTTCCACTGAGCAGGCTGGAACGAGCGCGCTTGACTCTGATTGCGGTGCTGGTCATGAGTTATCGTGCTTGCGACAGGAATTATGCGTCAGGCTCCCGGCAGATTGTGGCACTTGGGAGTCCAACGTTGAGACTCAAGTGTGCCACTGTGGCACTTGCGCCAAGGTGTTATGTGGGAGGGTGGTTGGAACTACACTCGATACCCGAATACGGGACAGACACGTGCGCTGCTGCAGTCTGCTCCGAAAAACGGCAGAGGAGTCTGGGGTGTCTGGGAGGTACCTCTACCTAAACCGGGCGGGGAATGTCGAAGAAGCCATGCCCACCGACATAGATGTCCTGCCCTGAGCATCCACAGGCTCAGAAGAGGGTTCAGGATTCTGGCTTTGCTGCCGAGTGTTGTCATCAGGCTCATTTGCCAATTCGTGGTGCATTTCCGCGGGCAGCCTGAGCTGTGGTTTCACTTGCGCTTGAGGGGAGACACATGTGGCACTATGTCGCATGTGATGCTCGTCAGGCCAAAAACAAGTGCAGTTGCAGATGTGTGGTGACTATCTTTTCCAACATGAGTGGTGATTTCCGCATCCGAACGGTCTTTTGAATTGTGCGTGTCCTTAGCTTCGGCTGGATCATCCAATAGAGACTCGGCCTCTTTTATGTCCCCGATGTTCCGTAGTGAGTAGTGGGAGTAGTGTGCTTTTTCGCAAAACCATGGGCGTGCAAGGCAAGCTGGTCTGAACATCCTGAACGGAGTCAGATTCGTAGGGCCGTCGTGTTCAGGCTTTGTTCCAAAAAGCCCCGAGACCGTCGTTCACAATGTTGCACCCGTCGCACGGACCTTGAAGTGAAGTGCGCAATTGATACAAGTGCAAAGGATGGTTCATGGCACCTTCATTCACATAGCTGGTTGCTGCGATTCTGAGGTTCAACGCCCTGTTCTGCAGAATCTGCAGAGCGCACTCCCTAGAACTGAGCCGCATGCCTTGCTGAAGGCATTGCAAATCCCTAGCTTGCACTGCACGGCTTAGGCGCGGACACTTCAATGGTGGCAGTTCAGCATGGGGGAGCTCGCCGTTCTTGCCCCAGCTCTTGCAGCTCCATAGAATTTGCAGCAATTTTGTGACCGTGCTGGCCAGGTAGTGTGGCCTTGGTTGTGGGAGGAGGGCTTAGCCTGAGCGTGCTGCTGGCATGGCTTGGATAAGTTGCACCGAAGGTTTCAATTCAACAGGGTCGAGCCTGTGAGGCGTTTACCTTCACCTGGCTTGGGCGGCGGAGCAGGCGACAGCCCCGACCTCTGCAGAGGCCGCAGCACGACAGACTGGCACGACCGGCTGATGCGACTCATGCGGCCTTTGCCGAGTCAGTCAGTAGAATATTTTCTTGATCTCAGGCAGGCTGCAAGGAGCATTGCCTCCAGGAAGACTGGGTGCAAAAAGGCTGCAGCCTCGGGCCTCAGTTTTCGTTGTGAGGAAGTTCGTCGCTTGTCGTTCGCTGAGGAGGGACAGGAGAGGCCACAGCAGCCTTCCTGCCTGACATGCCGCATCCTCAGCATCAGGCACCTGCGAGTCCTAGACTGGCAGCTGCCGAGGTCTCGAGCGAAGGAAGCGGCCCACTTTGGATGTTCAGTTCCTTTATGTCGGGCCCCCTCAGCTGAGGAGGGCTCTCCGCTCTCTCTCTTTTCACGTCGTGTTGTGTGCGGGTCCCAGGCCTCTCCGATCTTGCGACCGGGCGGCTCTGGCTCCGAGCGCCTTCCCGCTCTCAGCTGGCAGGCGCTAAAGGGCTTCGCGCTGCGCTGCGCCGCGCCATCCGCGTCGCGTCGTTTTGTGGAGGAGGAAGCAGCCGCAGTGCAAGACGCCTTGGGCCTCGCAGAGGATGCAGGCCAAGCTGAGACTCGGGGCTCAGCCTCCAGGAGATGCTGCCACAGGCGAGCACTGAGCTCCTCCTTCCTGTGAGAGGTTCCTCCATCGAAAACGACACGTCTCCGTCCTCGGCCTGAAGCTCATTCACGATGAGATCCCAGAATCTAGGACTAGGATCCTCTCAGACGCGGGGCGGGAGCCTTAGTTCTTTGGTGATCACGAATGCGAGGCCTCGACATCTTCTGTGAGCGCGGCACGAATACGGGTGAACGTGGCCACGGCGGGGGCCCAGCACTCCTTGGCCTTAGCGATGGACGTGACTGGACAGGTGGAAGTCCTGTCGCGTCTTGCTGCCGGACCCACGAGCTGCGCTCCTCCAGGCGGCTGTGTGATTTGGCCTCTCGGAGGCTTTGCAGCTTTACGCCCTTGCCAACAAGAGCTCCTTTCCAGGCTCAAAAAGGAAATCGGTATGAATGAGAGCACAGCGCCAACATTCCCTTACAATGTGAGGGTATTCTGTTGACGTTTTCGGGGCTTCATCTGCCGTGATCAAGCCAGGAGCAGACCAGAGCGCAAACCTTGTTCCAGGCTGCAGAGCCACACGCTGCCACCGGTTCCCAAATCTTGTTGTGGCTGATGCGATCCAGCCTTTGCAAGCATGGCGAAACAAGCCTCGAATCGAATCGTCAAGATCAAAGCGCTCTTGGGGTTCATGCTGCAGACTGAGCTGAGTCCCAGTGTGGCTTGCAACCAGTGAGCCTGTTTGAAGACCGTGAGATCAAGGTGTGTGCCGTACTTGGTAGCCGCCATCGCAGCACGGTGCTCAGAAGTGCCAGGAGATGCAAGCACTGTCACCGTTCGATGCACCGAGGTTGCATGGCAGGCGTTAACGACTCCGGCACTCGGAGAGCTGGAAGAAGTTGACATGCGAGGGAGAACAGTCCTCATCACCGGAGCCACCTCCGGTTTGGGACTTTGGCAAGCAGAGGCCGGTTGTCAGCTCTGTGCAGCCGATGCCAGCAGCATCACATGCTTCTTCTGCATGCAGGTGCTTGCTCGTTGGAACGCATCCTTGATATTGCCAGCCTACCTCTGAGAAGCACACTGGCCGAGTCGGCACGGATGAAGCCCGTGAACGCATTTGTGTGGGCCACGGCTTTCAGACAAGGTGCGCGACCTGAAAAAGGGTCAGGCGCTCTTGGAAAGGCTTACACAGGCAAGCCGGCAGCACTGTCGGACGAGATACTCCATCTGCAGTCGCCAATGCCTTGAAAGGAGTTTCCGGCAGCGCCTTCGCCAGCCCAAAACTCAGATCTGTGTACAGAACCTGGAGCAGGCGTTGACCCAGATTTCGAGCACCTTAAGATCTTGCAATTATGTAGCTAGGCCCTCGTGAGTCTGGTGAATTCGTTGTCATTCCCGTCAGACATGCTCCAGAAGAGACTTCGAACATTGGACAACCTTGTCCGTGCTGTTGCTGGACGCTGACGGCCAGGCTTTCCGCTCAACCCGGAAGGGACTGCACAACGTTGCTGCCCATCCCGGCATATGCCACTACCACGTGATAAAGGCACCGATAGGATGGTGAGCCAGCGGCCGTCCAGGGAATGGTTGACCAACAAGAAAGGAAGGACTTGCTGCTGCAAGGCCACTGCTTGAAGAGTTTTTGAAGAGGTTCACCGAGCAACACGAGGAAAGTCCTTTGATGTTCTTTGGTCGATTCCTGACTCTCCCATTCCCTCTATTTCAGTCGCCAATCACTCCTTTGTGGAAGAAGGCATCGTCGTGGTTGCAGTCCGGCAGTCCGGCGGTCCTCACTTCCGAAGTGTTTAAGTCCTTTAAAAACGGAAAGGTGTGCTTGTCTGGAATGAGCGTGGGTTGAGGATAGAATTAGTTTTGGGATGCTCCTGTCAGGCAGACATATCTGACATGTTTCGTTTTTCCAGTTTGGAAAGAGCGAGTTCTGCTGGCATTCCACGCACTCCAGCTGCAAGGTCGTCATGGAAATGGATCTCGCATCCCTGCAGAGTGTGCGCGACTTTGCGGAGCAGTACACCGGACCGGTGGCCGATTCCTCAACCTTCTGGGCGTGTTCACAGGGTGTGACATGTCTGACAGCTTCTCAGCTTCTGCGTTCTCTGATATATTTTCGAGGATGTGCTGGTTCACAATGCTGCCATCCTGGGCACTGGTGAGCTCATCCGAACAGAGGACGCATGGCCCACCCCGGAAAACGAAAGAGCAGTCGTGTCCAGTGCTGCAGTTCTGGGCAGGATGGCTTCGAGGAGTGCCTGCAGGTCTGCGGTGGGTTCTGGGTTGACAAGTGGCACAGAGCCTTGCGACAATGCGGCTGCGGTGGCGAAACCCACAGGTCAACTACCTCTCGTCGCGCTTGACTGAGCTTGGAGAATGTAGGGAGGGCGAGCGTGATAGTCGGAGCCACGACAGCCCCTTACAGCTTGATACTCTGCTTTTTGCTGGTGAGATTGCATAAGGTTTCTGCTCACACATTTGCTGCTCCCACGGCTGGAGCAAAGTGCAGCCGGGCGGATTGTGCACGTTTCCGCGAAGGCCCACGAGCACTGACCTCAGCACCATACTTTGCAGGGCCATATGCTCCTTCGCTTGAGTTCGAGGTGGGGCAACCTCAGCACTCAGGAGAGGGTCGCGGGGTTTGCAATGATACCGTGATGTGCTGCGTGATGTGTACATGAGGACCTGAGATCACGCAGAGTTCTCGACTTGGATTTCCCGAAGAGGCACAACCAGACCAGCTTGCCGGCTTGATGCCTCAAGTCTGCCCATGCACGATGAACCAGAAAGGAAAACTCCACGCCGCCGCACGTTCGCTTGGGCTGAATTCACGCGAGGCGGCTGCGTATGATGGGAAACCTGGGTGGATCCTACGCGGACTCCAAGCTGGCCCAGGCCTGCAGAGATTTTTTTTCGCAGCGCTTGCGAGGATGCAGAGCCCGCTTTCGCAGGTTCTGTTCAACAATGCATTGGCAAGGCGTCTGCCTCCAAATGTACGAGCCTTGGTGCCGAGTCCTACCGAGTGTAAGAGCAGGCATGCTGAGATTCCAGGTTGTGACGCACGCCTTGCATCCAGCGATTGTACCGTCATAGCCCCGGCTTGGTGCTACTGCTGTTTAGAGAATGTGCCGCGCTAGACTCTTAAGGACGGGGTTGCTCCGACAAGCAGCCTTCTCTGCGACTCAGCAGTTCCTTTCTTATACATCTGTGCCGGACGTGGGATCATGATCGGATCATGTGGCAAATGGGTAGCCACGCATCCGCCCAGGTTTCTGCACGACAACATGATGCAGCCTGTGATGAGGATGGTAGGCTTCACGCAGTCCAAGGCAAGGCAAGTGGCCTCCCGGTCCATGGTTGCCTTGTTGTGTGCTGTATCTGCAGGAGGATGCTCCAAAAACGCAAATTCACGTATCCACCCATCCGGCCATTCAGGACACTCTTATGGTGGTAGTGAGGCAGATGTATCAATCGGAATGCAGAAGTTCGCCAGGATGTGACCGGGCGCTACTACTCACCTCTGTCGCCTCCACTCATTGACTGTGGACAGAAGGCACGTCATCCGCCTCCGCAGGCAACCTTTGGCAGGATCTGAAAGATTTGATGTCCGTGCAGGCAGAGTACTGCGGAATGTCCAGCATATCAGATGCAGCCGCCGATCGGTTTCTACAGGAGGAGCTCACAGAATCCCGGCATTCCGACACAAAGCACGTCTGCGTGTCATCATTAAGCAGGACCTCTTCGACGCCTCCTGTGAACTGCTGGACCTAAACGATGGTCTTTGCGCGACAGTGCTGGAGAGCTGAGTTTGCTTGACTCGGCTTCGAAGCAGCGGTTCTTGTAATCGGGGACAGTTCTAGGATATGTCGAAGATCATCGCTGGAGCTACGGTACTCAGCCAGCATGGTGTTCATTGCGTGTAACTGCATGGCCCGTGGGAGCTATTCCCCACTGGCTCCGATGGCGGCTGAAATTCAAACAGCCCTACCCGCGGGAAAGTCACTGCTAAGCAGAAGGCTTTCAGTCTTTGTGGCAAGATGTAACCGGTAACCCTGTTGAGCTAAGGCTCCAAGGTGTGTGAGGAGACTACTTTCCTCCATCGGAGACCCCCGAGCTACCACTGCTCCATTGGTTCAAGAAGAAAAGAGCAGGCGTCGCTTTGTCGTCAGCTTGCCCTTTTGAAGGTGTATGTCTTAAACATTCTGCAGAGCACGAGTGCACATATCTCAATCTCAGCCTCTAGGATCCTCAGAGTCCCAAGAGCCAGGCGCTTCCTGGTGGCACATCGCAGCTCACAGCGAGCCCGGGACGGGGCGACTCATCCTGGAGGCCATTCCGAGACTCCTTTGCCTCATAGACGCCTAGAGGCATGTCGAGGCCATGCTTAAAAAGCTTCATGTGAGATCGCTTACAGATTGCGAGATAAGAACTGGGCTTGTCATTTCATCTTGCTGAGGATGAGGACGGGGCACCGCAAGTGGTTTCAATGGCGGCTTGGAGCCTAGGAATCAGATCTCTGACATGCACTGCAAAGCTCGACTCGAAAGCTCCTCTCCCAGCTTGATCGGCGTAGCACAGTGGAGGAACACCACCTGGAGCTGCGACCAGAACACAAGCTTCGTAGAAATAAGAGTATCAGATCCAGTGCAGGAGATGAGTGGAGAGAAAGACCCAGAGAAAGAACGACCGCCGGCTGCGGGAGGGGCTGGATGCCGAAGGGAGCGACTAGTACTACCACGGCTACTGTTACGACTGCTGCGCCCTACAGCCCACATCTCCCGATTGCTGAGCTTACGTCCAGACTCACGCCCTCCAGACAACAGTTCCGGGAATCGCAGCCACTAGTTCGGTTCGATCTGAGGGACCCGTAAACATCAGGGATCCATATTTGCCTTCAAGAGATCAACACCAGGTTTTTGTGGAGTGCATCACAAGAGCCGAGACGCGAGCAGCCAGCTGAGGCGCAGCTTTTTACCTGCCAGACTCCACCGCTGGGCGTGTCAATCTTGGCATGTGCCGGGGAGCAGGCAAAGAGAAGCGAGGGAATCAGAGACTTGGAAGTCTTGCGGCTGCTTTTTCGGCTGCTTGGGTCGCGTGCTTGGCAGCTCGGCAGGCTGGGAGAGCGCTCCTTTCGGCGGGGGCCTCCTTCGCGGTGGTGTCATCGGGGGAGTTGCGTGGAGCTCTCAGAAGCAAGTCCCGTCGTTTCAAAGTTAGAATAGGTCCCGTCGTGGATAGCTGTCAGCAGCCAGTTTGAGAGTCGCAGGGCAGATGCCTTCGGGTACACTTAGGTGACACAACCGCTCGCATTTTCGCCTCGCATTTCTACCGCCGCCTGCATTGCGCATGTGCTATGTCTGCATCGGAGCCGGTGTCTCAGCATGTCTCAGCCAAAGTAGCGACTGGTCTGAAAATGGTATCTGGTTGCACTCAGAGCTGCCATGAGCAGGCCTTCTGGGAATCTGAAGCTGGGTGACAGCCACTGACCCAGCTGATTATAGGTGGGCCGCACCGACACTTGAACGACCCTTGCAGGTTTTGCCTCCCAAGTGCGCTTGGCATTTGGTGTCGCAAGAGAGGCCCTGCATTGAGATGACAGCACACGGTGAGCGCATGGCCAAACCAAGAAGCAACAATGACGAGTGGCTTCCCTCTTCTGTTTGCCGAGCATGTGCTGATGTTGAGCGGCCAGAAAACAGAGGTTAGAAGATGTTACAAACATGGTAGCTTCTTCAGTCTTCGGGCAGCTGGTTGTTTTCATTCTCGAGCAACCACGCCACATCTTGGACAATCCATGAGGGTCCTGTCCACACATGCCCTCTGTACAGGCTTTGCAGACTGCCACGAACCCTGCCGTCCGCGTTGAAGCAAGAAAGTTACTTTTGCTGGAGAGAGGCCAGAAACCCAGATTTGCAAAGTGATGCAATAGGATGCAGCCAAGAATGCATGGGGATGCAGCAGGCCTGGAAGAGGTTCCAAGCGTGCCATCGCGCAGGACTCTGCTGTGCAACACTTCCAGGCCCGCGTTGATGCTCACTCTGCGAGCGTCATCACACTGAGGAGCCTGGCTGACTGCTGGATGCCCTTGGCTTAAGTTGCTGAACGCTGTTTGTTGACAGAGCGACCGTAGCCGCAGAGCACCGTGTTACTGAGAGTACGTCCGGTCACATTCCATATTGTTGCATGCCAGCACTCCTCTTGGGGAGTGACAGCAGCGGGAACAGCAGGAGAGGCAACTCTGTGAATGAGAGTTTCAAGAAAGACAACAGCAAATACATCAGCGCAGTTCAGCGGATGCACTAAAGAGGCCAGAAACGTGCTCGCACGGTCTAGCAACAACGATGGTTGTGATAGACAGAAAGCACGGCCGCTCCGAACATTCCTCAGTCTCACTCCTCTCTTACTGTCGCTCCTCACTCCTCATTCTACTCCTCACTCCCCTGTGGTTCTCTTGTGGCAAACTCCATCTGCAGCTTTGATTCCTTCCCTTTTCGTGGGGGTCGGACGACGCACCTCACCACCTCACCGCCTCACCTCCGCAAGTTTCGGATAAGTTCCATTTCGGCACCCTTTTGCACAGCATTGGCATGATTGTCGCAGACGCTGGTCAGCAGTGAGTCCGTGCCAGTGGCAATGAGCAGGCCGGTGGCAATGAGCAGTGAAGTTCTTCCAGGCAAGATGTGCCAGACTTGGGAAAGAGTGCATGTCCGTACGACCAATTTCAGGTGCCAGCGCCGCCATTGCAAAGGCTGACATGGAGGACCTGCGTCGCGGGAGTGTGAGGTGCTGCGACGATCCGTAGTAGGTGCAGCGTTCATCTCAGGATGAAACGTCCACGGCCGCTGAAGACAATGCCGGCGAGATGATTGCCGAGGCGCCGGGGCTCTGCGCAGCATGTGCAACACGCAGTCTGCCGCTTTCATCGGTTTGAGCATCGTGCAGCATCCCACACGAGAGTCCAGCTGTCAGGATAGCGCATCCTCGTTAAGCACATGTTCCAAAGAGACTTTTCCACAGGACGACAGAATATGTGAGCTGCAGATGGATGCGCAAGACATCATATGCCAGAGAAACTTCAGGACTGCGAAGATTTCGTCGGCCGTGGTGCAGACTTGCAGAGACTCTTGCAGATTCTTGGCACTTCAGGAGGCTATGTTGCAAACCTCAGTGGAAAGAGCCAAAGCAGCCATCAGCACTAGCTGCTTCAGGCCGACGTCTGGTCATCTTGCATGGGCCGAATGGGGCCGGCAAGAGCGCGCTAGGCCCGTGGCCCAAGGGCCCAAGGGGATCAACGGGTGCTTAAAGCCTTGGACAGGCCCTTGCGTCACGTGGGTAAGCTCCTCACGTCGTGCCTTCTTCTGCAGGTGCAGAACTCTGCAGTTTCGCCACATCTCCTGGGAGAAAGTTCGCACCAGCCTCCCGGCAAAAGGTGAAACAAGAAGCGAGTTGTTGGCGAACTTTGCCTGCCGTCAGGTCAAAGGCAACCGCAGGTTGGCGTTTGTGCGCATTGCTTGGAACTGCCACTGTTCAAGATGCATCGTAGAGGCGTTCGCCTTGCTTGAGCTAGGTCATTGCATGATCCAGGGCGAGAGTCGGATGCAGGCAGGCACTGATGACCAAATGTGCCTGCCGGACGGCCTATTGAGGAGTCCTCTCAGACAGAAGCATGCGACTGATACAGGAGACGATTGTTGTGGTCACAGTGTAGCCAGCCACGAGTGCAGCAGGTAAGACAGTTTGATTCATCATAAACCATGAAAGCTTTCACAGCCGGAACATGTTAAGATGTGACGTGCGGGTGGGCGTGCTCGGGTGGGTCGGTGGGTGGGTGGGTGGGTAGGAGCTTCTGGTATGTCTTCCGTTCGCACGGATGAAGATGTGTGGCAAGTCCTGGTAACTTGCTTCGCGATGCTCATCGTGCCCCCCTGCAGACACCACAGCAGCCTGCGCTCGCCTGTCCATCTTTGCAGCGGCCGCAACCTTGCGCTGCATACTCTGCAGCACCATGCAGCGTGACCCTTGTCCAAACGAGGCTGCAGGGCTGGGGAGCCCGAAGTCCTTCGAGGGACGGCTTGTACGGACATGTCCGCACGGCAATTTTGCTCCTTGCCCAAGACCCTAAATCATGAAAGAGAATGGCAGGTCTGGTGGTTGATGATGCTGATGAGCGTCTCGGCTGGTCCCTGTCTTAAGTGCCGAACAAGACGGCACCTGGCAGTCAGTACAGTTTGTGAGAGGCACACGCTGCTTGCTTGCGGTGTGGAAGGAGTCAGTAGCGGCTGTGGGGTGCCAACGCAACCGTAGTCTGAGTCGAAGTCTTCCGAGGCGAGACGAGTTCGTACCAGAACTGCTGGACAAGCATCCACAACTGTGCATACTCCTCCTCAGGCACCGCATGCTGCTGAAATTCGTTTGGATATGGAGTGGGACTGGGTCATTCAAATTCATTAAATGCGAAACTGCGAGAGGCGATCACCTTTGTACCGACTAGCCGGTGACGGAGGACGGCAGCTGTGGCCAAAGCGCGGACGGTTCTTGAATAATACCGCAATGCCTGCACTCCGACACAGGAGAGAGGTGGAAGCTCGGGCTTCAGCTTGTCCTGAGACGGTTGCTGGCATGTGCCGTCAGCTTGTGCGATGCGTATAGGCCGGTGAACATCACACTTGGCCCGCTGCCGGAGATGGAGGCAGCAGGAGTTACAAACATGCACCACCCTGGCTTGCTTTGAGTCGACGGGCCTTCGCAGGCAGCCCAACTTTTCCTTCAGAGGTGCAGGGCCGAAACAAGAAAGATGTCCGCGGGCTTCGCGAGACTTGGTTGTCGTGTGAGTTATCGCGAAGTTGCTGCCTCAAGGCTGCATCGGCCGATCTTCCCTTCAGACCTTTCTCGGGACTCAGAGAAGGCGGGAAATCCGGCGCTCGACTTCTCTAAGGAACCAGGGTCCATTGATTGCTCAATGTTGCATGACATGACTCAGTCAAAGACGAACTATTAAAGAGAGCATCCAGAACAACGTGCTACCATCAGGACCATCAGTATCCAACGAGCTGTGTCCGAGCCGTGCACCAGGCTGGAGCGCCGCTGAGGCCCACCGAAGACTTGTTGTCGGAGACCCAAAAAGGAAATGATGCGCCGTATATGACCGGCTGAATCTTTCTGTGAAGGGTTCTCGCCCTTGGACAGAGGCGTCGAATGACGGAACTCCCGGCATTGGCAGCCTGCAAAGGACCAACACTGTCAGGGGCAAGCAGAGAGCGTCGCATCCAGGGAGAATCCATGCCGCAAGAAGCCCTTGGCCTTGGAAGGCTTTCCACGGAAAGTCGTGCGGTTGGCTGCCGAGGCCAGGAAGTGCATTAAAGGTACGATAGCAGGAATAGGACTCCTGGAGATGCCCAGTCATTGAGGTGACCTGGGAGCTTCCTTCACTCTTGCATCTCAATCCCGGGATCTAGAGAACGTTGAAGCGCCGATGAAATTCGCAGAAAGCACTAAACTTTTTTACGGCCGCCACAGCTGACAATGACGCAGCAAACTTCTCCGGTCTCCGGTCACTGTACCTGCCAAGCCTTTCGCCATCCTTCTGATTGCTTGAAGGCTTTTGTTGCCTTCGCATTTCTGTGGCAGAGAGCCGTGGTAATGCATTGTCAAGTGCAGTGTAAAAATTTTCGAACCGGTTGAGATGAATCTCCTTCGGTGTTTCGCGTGCTGCAAAGCCGTTGATGCCTTCCCATCTCAACCTGTGTCTGTCTCATACGCAGCATAACGTTCCGGGCTGCAAAGGCTCTTCCGCAACGGTCTCAGCTCAGTTTGGTTCCGCATACGTGAACAGCTCGTGCTTAGAAGTTGCGGAAGGTCGCAGCAAAGCAAGGAGCAGCTCGGACTATTTGAAGTGTCTCAGGAGCTGCGGCGGAGGGAGTTCCGGGCAAGACATGCGTTTAGCTTGACTTCTTGGCAGTGTCACGTGCTGTCGAAAGTTCCTTATGGCGTACAGTGGTGGAACTTAACTTGTCATGTCTGAAATTCCTTCGCGCCCACGGTTTTCCTTTCAGTCAAGGCAATATGCCTTAGGAATTCGCCGCATGCCTACCGTTACTACATTCGGAGCTACTTGCAGCAAACCTCTTGGCAGCTGCAATAGACCCTAACGGTTTTGGTTCCCGCTTCTCGAATCAGATGGTGAGATATCTCACCCTGGCGGGAGATTCCAAAGACATTGCGTTGAGAATCAAGCAATCCAAAGGAGTTCTGCACAAAATGCTGGAGAATAGGACCCTGGTTTCTTGCTGGGCAGAGTGTCATAAGCTCACGGTTGACTGAATCGGTATGCAGCAAGTGTCGGCCCCAGTCGTCCATGTATTGCTTTGTGGCGGCGTCTGGTGATCCCTGACGGCAGTTTATTTGCAAAGACAGACTCGAATCTTTTCGGCGATGAGTTTGCAAGTGCAGAATGATAGTCAGATAATCTTGGATGAGATTCAGCTTAGTGACAACGAGGTGGCACGACCGTGCAGCACTCCGTGCTACCGCTCTTCCAATCCCTTGCGCCACTCAGAAGCATGTAAGTACATGGAGCACGTAGCTGCATTCCTCCTGAGCGTCCTGCAGCCGTGAGGCGTTGGCTGCAGTCCAACCTCGCCGCTGAGCCAGCACAATCACGGCACATCTGGCGTGTTTCCCACCAGGTCATGCGTGGGTCAATTTCGGCGGGGGCCCGTTAGACACAGTGGACAGGTGGGCATCCACGGCAGCTCGTGGTGGCCACCATCGCATCCGCGTTAGGCCACCGCTTGGCAAGACAGGGGGCGCCAAAACGCCCCTCGGCCTGACTTTGGGCTTGATACATCTTCGGCAGCAATCGTTTTCACGTAACCAGGGAGCTCTCGAACGATGCTCGTGACACCAAAGGAAGCATCTCAGGTCGGATGGCAACATGCCGCCTGGAATTGATGGGTGTGCATGACTATCCCAGGCCGTTTTGCATTGCACGATACTGCATGTGTGTCAAGCAAGAAGTCAGAATCCTCAGCTTTTCTGCAGGCATGCTGCGACGGTTCTGCGGAAGGTCAAAGGTGCTGGTGTAGTGTCCGGGTTTAACATCCCCAACAAGAAACCCGGGGAGCCTCTGCTGGAATGGGCCATGGCCTCGGTGCTGTCAATGCTCTGTGTGGTTGACTTGGCAAGATGCCACGGTGCCTAGGCTGGCACGCTCCTCCAGGAGTTTCCCGCTGTGGAGGTGACCGTGCATTACAGCTCCTGGTCTTGAGATACTACCCAGAGCTCAGAGCAGATGGGCCTTGCCTGAGGCAGCTGTGCGGATCCGGTAGTGTTACTGGACTGTACTGCGCTATGCTGTAAAAAGGCTCGCCGACGGCCGCCCCCGAATAGTGTGATGTTCTTGCAGAGCAAGAGGCCGAGCAAAGCTCACTCCCAGAGCCTCCGGCCTGACGATCCCAAGCCCATACATCGTAGAGGGCCAGCTTTCTAGTTGTGACAGGACGCCGCTTGTTCCAGTCCTTGCACTCAGGTTTGAAGCACCAACGCAGGGAGAACCCGGTGGAGGCGCTCGGTTTCGTCCCACCCAGAACCTCTCAGGTCTCACTGCCAGCCGTGCTACGATCTCCAGCAATCATGCCTGACTTGGGGAGGAGTTTCCTGAGCCAGATAAGCGGTTGAATCTTGATCTTTCGGGAGGTGCTTGCAGGTTCCTTATCTGCGCTTCGGAATGCAAGGAACGCAAGACTGCACATGACGACTCGCAATGCTATAAGTAAACTCTAACTTGAACGCGTTTCAGTTTGGTGGCCATTCTAGGCCCTGCCAAAGTAAACACCCTAGTTTAGAACGGCTTGCTTGGACACCCGAGTCGATCATACCATGGGCAAATGGTCAGCACCGTTTGTTGCGGGGGGGTCTCGACAGGCTTTCCGGACTTGGTGCCGCGACGCTGCCGCCGTGGGAGTTAGCAGAGATGCTTGGACTGCAAGAAGCGTCGTGGCGTGATGATGTGATGTACATCGTAGGCGGCACACTGGTGTTACCTCTGGCTTCATCTCAACAGAAGTGTTACCAAGATGGATTGAGACATGTTGGTATCTGAAGAGTCAAGGTGCTGTTGGTAACGGGTCCCCGTGGTCCTCGGCAAGACACAGCCGCCCGACTCTCGTGCCGCGAGCGGTGAACATCTTAAAGAATCCATGCCAGCTCTTCCCATGTGCAGATTGGCCAGGGAGCACTGTTCCATAAAGGAAGTCTGCTGGTGTTTGGTGTTGAAGGGATATCTGGTCATGCTTCAGGTAAAGGTGCTGAAGCAGTTTGGACGGCCAATTGAAGGCATCCGTTTGGGCGTCGCCTTTAATGCCGCTCGGCATCGAGATGCGAATTGGTCCTCCCGAAAGTATGTGTCGTGATGATAGGATCACTCAGGCGTGCCTGCCGACAGATGCAGAGAGGGAGCTGGAACGACAGCGCTTGATTCAGAAACTGCGTACTGGATTAGTGAGTGACGTATGGCTGCCACCTGGCCGCGATTATAGAAAGCGCCAGAAGCTGCTGGGAGAACAGACTACTTAATACTTGCCCATTTTTTACGTCACGCTTCTTGAGGAACACTGGTGTGGACGAAGATTTGCTGCGAAATGGCGTGGCGTTTGTGCAGAGCACTTGCGACAAGCTGCTCGCTTGAGCTTCGCCACCGCTTGGACTCGCATCCTTCGTGTCCTTGCTCGGCCCTGGACCAGTGAGTTGCTGAACATTTGCTGAGGCTCGATGTGAAGCCTGAAATATTTGGATCGGCGATGCTCCCCAGCGAGGGGCAGCTGCAACAGATGCGAGAGCGGCCGTGGAACGGTGTCCAGTTTAGTGAGGACGGGACCTGGAGCCCCTGCCCAAGCAGAGCATGTATCAATTCAAATCGTTCGCATGGTTAGCTTATGTTAGCTTCATGGACGGGAATCCCAAAAGTGTCTGAGCTCCGAGCAGTACTTTTTTCCAGGAGTTCCTCAGTTCCCTCGAAGGGATGGGCACAGCGACGAGCAGAGCCCTGGCCGTCTTCCGGGAGATGGGAGTCGAGCCCATCCTCGAAAGCAAGGCGCGCAGGCTGCCGGTTGGTTCAAGGATGACCTGCTGATCTTTCTACATATGACTGGCATCACATTGCACTGCGGCCTGCGTCAGAGTCAGCGGTGATGATATTTGTTTGGTACTTTTTTTTGCTTGGCAGAGTCTTTGCCTTGCCAGGTTAAGAGCGACGCAGACATCTCAAAGCTGAGTGCTCTCCTCAAGGATGATTTGGAAGAGCTCGCCGAGCTCTTGGAAGCCGAGGGAGGTGCCGCAAAAGGCCCTTCTGCTAGCCCGCCGCGTGGCAGCGGTAAAGCCCGGGCTCTTCATTATTCTGTGGCCTTTGCCTTCACATGTGCCGCAACACAATATCTCAAAGCCAATGGTATAGCTAAGGTTTGGATCGAACAAAGCTGCCAAAGCTTTCGACACGAAAAAACCAGGCTCTGTGCGTTCACTGAACTCGGCAGACACTCTAGGAACAGCTCCGGATGCATCACGCTGGAAAGGTGCCGAGGAGGTGTTTCGACCTCCGAGGCGGCGCTGGGGGAAGGACCAAAGACAGAACGCGTAGTTCGCCGTCTCTCCCCCTTCGTTGGACCATGGACAGATAATGTAGCAGAGTGCTTCCTGAAGGCCCCAGGCACTGCTGTCTCACCAAGCAACAAGCAACAATTTTCGGCCGACCAGCGACATGCCAGAGTACTGAGAAACTGAACCGTGCGCCAAGATTCTTGTGGCCACTTCAGATCGGGTGAAGACTGCTTCCTTCCTTGAGCGTCTAGTACCGAAACTCTCCGCTGGTTTCAGCTTCAGATCCGTACATGCTGAGCCACGCAACTCATTTCACGCAAGCATGACTGATTTAGCGTAGGCAGCTGCTCCATTCTCCCGGGAGAATCATGGATGGGACTGCTGATGCCAAACCCGAGCCGACAGACGCGGCTGCGTCCAAAGTTTCAGAGCCTCAGGTGGCGGGCAATCCAACTCCCACAGGCTTGCCAGGATCGGTTGCAGCTTGTAGTTCCAGAAGTCTCCTCGATGGCAAGGCGAGGATGCGAAGCCCTCATCCACCGAGCCAGTTGCTGTGCTGCAAGGCTTTTTCGGCAAGTTCACGAATTCCCGCTTGACTCAACTGCACATCAGCCGCCGACCGTCAGTTTTAAGGTGACGCCGGCACCAAAGGCTGTCAAGAAAAGGCTTGGTGAGTATGTGGTGAAGAGTTGCGAGTGGGGACGCCCTTGCCTTGGCAGGGCTGCCTCGGATGGCGCTGCGGCCACCAAAGCTGCAAAGCGACAGAAGGTGGAGCTCACGGTTGGTGACAAAGGCGTTTTCTTCACGACCGTGAACACAGGCTCGCTTGTGGCTGCTACCTCGAAACGGACAGTTCTGCATCTTCGTGCTTTGGCTCGTGCGGTGTTGGAGGCGGTGCTGCCAACGCAAAACGCGACCTTCAGAACCTGCTTGAGGATGCGCAGGCAAAGTGATCGGTAAGGACGGTAGCCGGGTTGTGTGAAGATGAGGTCGAGGGGACGCAAGAGCGCACGATCTTGACGTGTTGTCTTTTGAGCTTCTACACCCCTCTGCACATCCATACTGTGACTTGTCGCTTGTCGGGAAGTAGAATGCCGTCATCACCCTGTCAGGGTGCCGATCCGAAAACGGCCAGGCAAGGCAAGAGTGCATGTTGGCCTTGCGTGCCTTCGGCCGACAGCTTGAGTTCAAGGAAAGAGGAAACCTCGCCCCCGGGCAAGCCGAAGTTTGTGCCGTGCACAGAGGCCTGGGGCCCGAGCCTTCTCTCCGAAATTCCCGAAGAACCCAAACGTGTTTGTCAGGCGGGAAAGGGTAGCGGACTTCTCAAGCTGGTCTCCGACTCGCCGGAGCCCTCCAAGGCCCCTCCCTTTGTATCTGAGAGACAAGCTGCAAAGAGTGTCTCAGCAGCATCACAGCCACAGCCATCGAAGATCTCCGCGGCATTGTTAGAGTATTAACTTGACACTATCAGGTGAACGGGCCCTTAAGAATTTGTCTAGGCAAGCTTCAATCTGTGCCCTCTGTGCACCCCAACAGCAATGGCTGTGGAAGACATTTGCAAGAACGACGAGGAGGATCGTTGCGAGGGGAATTCTGAGCTCCCGGACCTATTGGAGCTGATTGAAGTGGCCGAGAGCTCCACCGAGGATGTCGCCCGATTCGCAGAAGTGCTGCGGCAGGTCGGCCGTCGCGTGAAAGCGAGCCCAGAAGACCGGGATTTGCTGAGCGACTTCGAAGGCATCTCTCAGATCTGTGATGCCTTAAGTAAGGAGCCTCATCAGTGGCAGGGAGAGGCAATGCTGGCATTCTGCCGGACGATGCCCGACGTTTGCCGAACGAGTGTTGTGAATCGTGCCTCACTCCGCGATGCTGGATTTCTGGCAGCTTGTATTCGCCTGCTGCATGGGGCAGCATGCAAGAAAGACGAAGCAACAGCGGTGGCCGCGAGCACAGCCCTTGCTGCACTGTGCACCGCCAGCGATGCCAACAAGCAGATGGCAATGGTTGCACACGAGGAGCCTTGTTCCGAGCAGAGTGGTCAACATGGAGTGCTCCGTGTGCTGCTCGATGTTCTGGAGATGTTTCCCGACTCTGCGCAAGCACAAGCTGAGTCCATGGCCGCGCTGCGGTCTCTGGTTGTGGATGATGACACCAGAAAAGCTGAAATAGCACCTTCAGCTCTAGAAAACCGTGAGTTGCTACTCGGCGACGAGCTGTACCCAGAGGTAAAGCGTGTAGTGCAGAATGCATGCCAGCTTTCGCAGCACCATCCGCAGATTGTGAAGCTTGGCGAGCAAGCTTTGCTGCTTCTCCGTGAGATTGCGAGAGGCCACGATCGCATACAGGAGATCGCGAAGCCAAGCAACAAGCTTCTGGCATTCGTACAAAAATCGATGGAATCTTCGGAACCTCGCATCGTTCGTGCAGCGATGGCCGTGCTGCGAGCGTTCGCACTTTGCGAAGATGTTCGAGACGAGCTTTCTTTGCAACTGGCCCGCATTCAAGCGCATTGAGATATGGTCAAGGCAGCAAGCTGAATCCGCATTGCAAGCTCTAGGGCAGAGTCGTTCGCTTTAAGGTCGTGTGAGACTTGCCGGTATGTGCAAGCCGTGCAGCGACATTTGGCCACTCCAGTGGTCTGTGAACAAGGTTTCGGCCTTCTTGCAAACCTTACCCTTCGCAGCTTGCCTCAGAATGGCAAGCTTACCTGCAGCGACGGAGGTGTTTTGTTTGAGTCGTCGTATCCGGTTTTGAAAACGAGGTAACCCTGCCATGGCGCCTGCCGCCCAGACTGCTTTTTGACCAGAGGGGATCCATCACAGACGCCTGAAGAAGTCTATCAGGTCAGAGTGGCTCATGCTCGTGGAAGATATGCGTCGCAGGTCCTTCCTCAACGACACCGAACATCAAGTCGTTTCTCTGGGCCAGCAGGTGCTGCAGAGGCACTCGGACAGGCATCGGCTTATGTCATGGAATCAGATCGCCGAAGGGCCGCAGTCCACCAATCCGCTACCACTGCAGAATCTTGCACAGGCCTGATGTGACGAAGTCAGTGATGCAATTGCTGTGGAGTCTCTTGCCAGCAGATCAGTCGACTCATTGAGCAGCAACCTGGGAACCATTCCCATCCTCTAGTCAAGCCCACGATTCTGTCGCCAAGCATGGCCTCACACGCCAAAACACAGGGTCAATCAC